TCTTCAACTTCGCGGCTTCGAGGCCGCCCCAGTCCCTCGGCCCCCAGAGCCCCGCTGCCAGCCGCGGGCCGCTATGGGAGTTTTGTGGGGCCGAAGGAACCCTCCGGGGGAGATAAATTTAGCTTCGGATCCTCCCTGAGACCCGGTAGCCGGACGTCTGAAGGAGAGCAAAAGGACGGGGGCCTCACAGACCCTGCGGGGGCCGGGGGCGGGGGGAGAGGGGTACCGAAGTGCACGCGGGGGAATGTAGTCCGCGCTCGGACCGCACGGCGCGAGGCAGCCTACAAACCTCGGTTTCGGCGTCAGGCCAATCAATGGTGAGGCTTCGGAGGGGAAGACGGGGCTGGGGGGCCGTGTTTACTGTCCCTGGGGCTGGCACAGCCGCCTCTGCCTTCCCCTCCAGCCATGGTGTCCTCTACCTCCGCGGTCAGTACTCATCCCCTGGACAATCCCCGTCCCCATCATAGGAACTTGGACCGAGGGTTTGGGGGTGGAGAGGGCTTAATGTACAACTTGTGCTTTGCATGCTTGGTGTCATTAAATCTTTGCCAAGGCCCCGTTTTACAGATGACGCAGAGAGGAATGGAGTCCAGGTCCAGAACTATAAACGACAAGGCAAGAATCAAAGGCAGATTTTTAAATTAGAAAACAAAAACATGATTTAAAAATGCCATTCCACAGCTGATCAATGATTCTCTCTCATTATTGATGTTTCTATCTCTCCCTCTCCCTTCCTCTCTGAAATCAATAAATAAAAATGCCATCACATTTGTTTTATTTTATTTATGTTTAATTTTATTTTTCGATTATAGTCTACATTCAACACTTTAAAAATATTAATTTCAGGTGTATAGCACAGCGATAGACATTCAAATAGGTTGCAAAGTGTCCCCTCTGATAATTCAAGTGCCCATCTGGCACCATAAATAGTTATTACAGTATTATTTGTTTTGTTTTAAAAAAAATATACTTTATTGATTTTTTACAGAGAGGAAGGGAGAGGGATAGTTAGAAACATCGATGAGAGAAACATCGATCAGCTGCCTCCTGCACGCCCCCCCCCCCCCCCACACACACACACACACTGGGGATGCCCCCGAAACCAAGGTAAATGCCCTTGACCTGAATCAAACCTGGGACCCTTCAGTCCTCAGGCCGAGGGTCTTTCCCCTGAGCCAAACCGGGCAGGGCAGTTATTACAGTATTATTAACTATGTTAAAAAAAAGGGGAGCCCCTGAGCCAGGGGTCCTGGTAGGACACAAAGGATACTGAGGACCCAAAAAGCAAGGGAAATACCTTCACTCCTGCAGGAGGGTGAGCAGCACAGGGTCTGGCAACGCCCACACTGAGCAAACCAAGGCCTGGGGTCCGGGCTTTACTGCTGACCCACCTCACCTTTCCCTCACTCTTGATTGGTCAGAGCTTAGGCTCACATTCTGGTGCGATTGGCTAATTTAAAGGAAAAAGGGAGGGGTTGACCTTTGCCATTTCAAAATGGCGGCCACTAGGGGAGCTGCAAGTCACGCAAGCTAAAATGATGTCTTCCTAAACTCCCTTCTTTGACAGAAAAGATTACTTGTTTATTCTCACAACTATGTGCACTATATTCCCTATGCTCTACCTTATGTCTCATGCCTATTTTGTAACTGCCAATTAGTACTTCTTAATCCCATCACCTTTTTTTAAAAAAATATATTTTATTGATTTTTTACAGAGAGGAAGGGAGAGAGACAGAGAGTTAGAAACATGGATGAGAGAGAAACATCGATCAGCTGCCTCCTGCACACCCCCTACTGGGGATGTGCCCACAACCCAGGTACATGCCCTCGACCGGAATTGAACCTGGGACCTTTCAGTCCGCAGGCTGACGCTCTATCCACTGAGCCAAACCAGTTTCGGCAATCTTTTTTTAAAAACTGCATTTCCAACACCCCTCCCCTCTAAAATGCCATTCCCTTGAAAGAATGAGGAAACAGCTCTTCAGCGGTCAGTGACTGGCTCAAGACCTTCAAGCTTGTACATGTCAAAGTTTTGGGTCTTTTCACTCGGCTTCTCCTGAGAGGTCTTGGGGGTCTAGAGGGAGAATAGAACAGGGGAACCCCATGGGCTCGGGTGCCCCGACTCCAGAGCACCGCCTCACAGGCCCCCTGGGAGGTTGTTCCGCTCTCGGAGGGAAACCGCACCTGGCAACTGGCTACCTGTCAGGGGAACCCAGGCCCCATCGAGAATGCTGTTGGAAGAGAGAGGACTTGCTGCATTCTGAGTACAGGCAGTTCTTGAAAAAACAAACAAAACAAACAAAAAAAAAGCCCCACAGCTGAAGTTCTGCAACACAAAATAAGAAGGCTTTATAGTGCAAGAACTTCCAAGCCTGTGACATTTTTAAAAGAGCTTATTAGCATTCATTTGAGCCAGGCAGAGGATACACCTGGAAGCAAGATTTCAACAGAATGAAAAATGCTTCCTAGAATGAGTTTGCAGTTTCTTTTTTGCATTTGAAATTAAAGAGGTAACTCAAGGAAGATTACATGAAGGTGGGAGAAAGCAAGGCAGAGATGGGATGGCTAACAATGTGCTCTCTTGAGGGTGGTTACCTTCTGAGGGGTCTGAAAAGAGGGGCCTAGAAAAAGAGGCATTTCAAAGGCGTGTAAATCGAGATGCACAGAAACAATGGACCGGGCTTGCTAAGGCAAAGATGAAGCTTTCACTAAAGAAGTTATATGCCTGAGTGTGACTCCCACCATCATCTGCCTTGTTAGGAATGTATAATAAGATCACCCTGTGAGGTTATTGGTTAGATTTATTATAGCCCGCACCTTTTCATCCACAATGGGAAAAATAAAGTTAGGGATGGGTTGCTCAAAATGTATGCAACTTTGTAATCAGAACACTATAAAAATATGAATGATTCTATTAAGAATACTAGCACAGTTAAATTTCCATGGGCATTTGCTCATAGCAACACCTTCTGTCTCTTTGTGATCTTAAAGGCTGGGACTTGTCTGGAGATATTAACTTGGAGATGTTGGTCTGAAGATACTAACTTCTAATGAAGACCATTTTCATCAAAATTAAAAATCTGATCCTAGGTATAGTCTCCATTAATCTGTTATTTTAATATGGGAAAATGTGTTGCAGTTTCTTCACCTTTATTCACAGCTTTGCCACATACCATAATGGCAAAGCATTATTTGTAGCAAGCATTGTGGTATTTGAAGCCACTGTGGATATGAAGAAAGATATTTTCTATAGTTAGGCAACTTTTCCCCTTAAGATCGTCTTTTATTACTAAAGCTGCCCCTTTAACTGTGAAAAAACTGGCCCTTGATTGCTTCAAGACATTAACTTCTTGGAGAAAATTGCACATTAACCTCACATTTAATCCTCACCTGAGGATATTTTTCCATTGATTTTTAGAGAGAGTGGGAAGGAAGAAGGAGAGACACACACACAGAGAAACATCAATGTGAGAGAGACACATCAATTGATTGCCTCCCGCATGCACTCAGACCAGGGCCAGGAGCCTGCAACCGAGGTACTTGCCCTTGACTGGAATTGAACCCGGGATCCTTCAGTCCACAGGCCGATGCTCTATCCACTGAGCCAAACTGGCTAGGGCCCCAATGCTATATCCTTTAACAATTCATCTTGTTCCTTCTGATTAGGATGCTTATTCTGAAATACCTTAAGTTCTTTGATGTACTGGTGTCTGTTTCTGGCCTCTTGAGTCTGTTCCCTTGATCAGTTTGTCTGTTCATGTGTCATACACCTTTGCTTTCTCTTTTTAACTATGGCTTTTTAGTATATCTTATCTGATACAGGAAATCTCTCTTTTGCCATTCTTTCCTATTTGTGGGTCTTAACTCTTCCACATGCATTTTTGAATTCATTTTTGTGTTTCTAAAAAAATATATCTGGAATTTGGGCTTGCATTGAATTTATAGATTGATTTAGGTAGAAGACACGTCTGTTATTAAATTGCTGCACTCGCCGAAACCGGTTTGGCTCAGTGGATAGAGCGTCGGCCTGCGGACTGAAGGGTCCCAGGTTCGATTCCGGTCGAGGGCGTGTGCCTGGGTTGCGGGCACATCCCCGGTGGGAGATGTGCAGGAGGGGGCTAATCGATTTTTCTGTCTGAATGGAGACTCTCAACGAACAATGACTCTCCCTCCATCTCGGAGAAAAAGACAGTAGAATATATTTTAATAATATAAAGATAAAGATGAATGGCGGCACTCATGAAACACGCTCATCTCATGGGGTAGATTGCTTTT